TTTCCTTCTTTTCTTCCTTTAAATCATTATCCTTAGTTCCAAGGCTAGATTTACTTAAAGATAATTTACCTGGGAAGGAATAATGGTGATCTTAATTAAAATCTGGCTCAAAGAAGCAATAAAATGTAGGCTTAAAAAGAAAACAGAATTGCTGTAAAAGTTTGATTAATTATCCAAAACTGGAAGAGAAATATTGAAGGAAGATGGGTGACAAGAAGAGAAAAAATGCAGGAAAAAGTGAGACACTAAGAGGTAAACAAAATGACAGAGCAAGACAAGACAAAAGAAAAAAAAAGAAATTCTGACTGACAAAGACAATAAGAGAAACAGAATACAGACAAATGGGTGAATACAAATCAGTAAGAAATTATATGCAATTACTTTAGGTGCCAATGAAAAATCAAAGATAACAATGAAATTACCTTTGTCTAAGCTCTGTGTTGGTGGGATTTCTTCCTCCGTTTCCTCTTGCTCCTCTTGATTTGTTTCTGCGCTCTTTTTTTCTGCTGGGGATTTACCTATATTGCATAATTAAAAAATAATCAATAAAAAGTCAGTGATATTATGGCCATGAGTTTCCAGAAAAATAATTATATCTGTATAGGATCATGGAACTTCTTACCTATCTGTCCCTAATACTCTGTGTTTATGTTAGTTTATGATAATGCTAAAAATTACATGCATGAATATATGCACATACATACATACACACAGACGTATAAAATCTTTTTCTCCTTCTCCTTCTCTCCTTCTCTCTTTCTCTTTCTATATATAAGCATGTCTGTACACACAATAGGCAAGAAAATAAATATATATATATATATATATATCTACCTTTCTTACATGTAGGCTCAATATCAAAGTCACAGAAGTCATCAAAATCTTCATCATCCATGAGCATAAAATTGGATACTGTTGCTGGTTCTGGTTTCTTTGTGATGACTTGAGGAGATCTGGTAGAAAAATAACAACAGTGTAACATTTATCTTTAACCTCTGTAATTTAAGAATATAATATATAGTGCTATATCTTGATATAGGTAAGAATAAGAATTTTTCTTAGTGTTACTCTGAAAGATACACACTGTAAATGAGTTATTAATAAAACTATTTGAAACAAACTTGCTATTAATAGAAAACAACTCAAATAAAACAAAAAAAGTCTAACAAAACAGAAAAGCATAAAAAAAAGCAAGGCTTCCACTCACAGAATCTTTCAGTCCAACTGACCATTCACAAACACATATGACTAACACAGACACCAAAATCATCACCATCTCAGCACACAACACATCTCACAACTAACACTGTGGCAACTGGTTTTGTTATCTTCTTCTCCGCCTGGCAAAGAGCGCTTTCTTTTGAGGTCTTTGTCTCTGGATTACTGAAAAAGTCAACCATCCTCTTCTGCCTTGGGGATCTGCCCAAAACACGGCGTTTGACTACTTTAGACATCTTTTTATTCCTATCTGCAAGAACTGAAAGGAAGTGCAAAAAATAAAACAAAAATTGTGAAAAACATACACGTACAAAAATAAAAATCCTTGTTAGTTATACTAAGTAACCAAAAAAATTAAAAGATTTTACATAATCATAATAAAAAGCAGCAATGACTGAAACATCAAATCAAGGGCAGATAAAATAAAAACATATACCATGCATTTACTCAGTTAATCAACGGAAAACAGAAAATGGTAATTTCTATTTGGGGCTATTCAGTAATGAGTGATCACAATTTCATTTAAATATGAAACCCATAAAATAATGTAAAAGCAAGTAATTTCTGATGAATAATATCATGATAAAAAAAACAGTTCTACAAAAAAGAACTTAAATACAACACAAAAAATGGCAGGCAACATATATATCAAAAGCTTTGTGCTCTTGTCCAGATAATAGATGACAAGGAGAGCAAAATTATACATATTATCATACATACTGGGTTATAAAAATCTAAATACAGTATAATTAAGAACATATCAAGGTTAGGATCCAGCAGATGGAATAGACAGCTCACTGAATTCTACGACTTTTCTTCATAGTTTAGTTACTGAAAACTGAAATTAATAAAGTTAGGCTATTCAATTTACAAATCAATCAAATCAAATGTACCTTCCTGGCAGTTTATCATCAAGCAAAGAAATACGTCAATGCTATACAATGCATATAGTGCTTTTTCATGTCACTAATGAAATAACCTTTTCACTTTCAGTTTGCAAGGCCTAGGACAGTCAAAAAATATATCTAAATTTATCAGTGATTCAATGTAAAATTTTTACCCTGCGCATTGTAAGTAGGCCTAGGTACAAACCTATTTTCATTCACAATAAATTTTAACTGGACTGTGCAAAATAAATCATAAGAAACTTTTAAAAATCTCTCTCTTTTAGCCAGGCCTTGAGAATACCCTAAATCAAACCTTCAACCTTAGAAAACTAAGTTAAGGAGTCAAGTTTAAGTTGGAATTTTGGGAGTTATGTTCCAAATAGGACCCCAAAGCAGGGCCATAGATCCAGTCCTCTGTATACATACAAAGGTCAGCAAACTTTTCCTAGGGATATTCTGGCAAGATAGTAAGGATTGGTTCCTTACTTGATTATAAATCCTCTATGAAATCAATATATTTTAGCTTACCTGAATATACACACAGGTTTTTTTATTTCAACCTCTTTCTGTAGGGTTGTTTTCTGAACAATTGCTAGTTTGGGTTAGATAACGGATATGTTTTCATTAGTTTCAATGAAGCTAGGCTAGGTCTACTAAATCTCCTGGTTGGAAACTTGTACAACAAATCATGAAAATGTTTGGTGTATAAGCTTCTTGAAGGGTTAAGCACACATGAATTAAGTCTGTAGTATTATGTATAAAATTTTTAATGTTTTCCAGGAGCAACATACTTTGGCTCACTACAAGACCTGTTTTATGATATACTGGAGTCACCTAATACCCCCTCTTAAATGAAAGGAAGGTAATTTCTCCTAATACCTTTGCATAACCAATTGCAGCAATTTTGGTATCAATGGACTACTCTCACCCTTTAGTACACATATGTAGAAATTATGATGTGGAACCCCTCCAAACCCTCACATTCTTGGCCCCGATAGCACAGAGGGGCATGAAAGGTATAGGGGAAATTGTCGGGTAAGATATGAATAATATAAATAGATTGTCACTATATTGCTTAATTTCCCTAGTACCTTTTAATGAGCTCCCCTGCTATCAGGTCCAAGAATGTTGGTAACGAGTGATTTTCCATGGCGTAATTTCGATAAATTTGGATAGTAGATAGTGAGAGGCGTACATCGACACCAAAACCATTGCCATCCATTATGCGAAGGTATCCTGAAAAATTACCAAACAGAATTCCTTGTCATGCATCTCACTTTGCTTTTCTTTTAGTTTTATATTTCTAATTCCATACAAATCAGTTTCTAACCGAGCTAAGCCTATAGCAGGAGATAGTGGGAGGGGGGGGGGGGTGAATATCACCACCGACCGTGGAATCACCATAATAACAACTTTGCGAAACATCAAAACCTTCTACATCATACTAACTGATCTAGGTGACCACCAACACCCATTTCAATTCTTAATCATAAAAAATACAAAAGCAACTCGCTCACGTAAATGTACGCATTACAACCAGACATAAACAAACATGCAACTCAAACATAACAGCCAGTAACTACTACCCAGACTCATT